GTTTTTATCATTTTTTTCCACGCGAATACGAATTTGACGCCAAATATACGCACATAATTTCATTGCTAGACGCGACGGGAGAGAAGTCCTCGTTTCACGGCACGACGCCTCCCGTGGCCAGTCTCCGTCACTTTTGACTGGGGGCCGTGACGGAATGGGGGCCAGTCCGTCACTTTCCGGTACCTAGCCTACCGCTTCGGCTTCTATGAATGCCAAAGACAAGCAGAAGCTTGTCAATTTCGCTTACGTTTCAATGTAAAACAAAGTGCTTGTAAGCGACAGAAAGTATCATGCTGTCTCATTCATCGACATAAATAAGTTGCCATGCTTCTGCAGGAATCCTTGTTCATGAATCGATATCGATGTTCTCTAGACAACTGAGTTTCAACTTTCTCAATCCTCACGAACACTGGGAAACCGCTCAGCACTCAGCGACTCGCATATCGCTAATGACTTTCAGCAAATTTAAATTGAGGTAGGCATTCCGTTGTCGTAGGCTGCTGTGTAGAGCGAACGGTCTGTGTCAATCTATCCGTGAGCCGTACGACGGCCGACAGGGCCTTAGTTGGCTGTGGCCGATGCGACCTAGTAAGGTCGTTCGAGTGAATCTCCGTGTTCTTCCCTCGCCTCAGAGCTGCCGCTCTTCTCCAAATACCCGAGCCGTTTTCTATGTGTATTGGTCTTGCAGCGAACAGCAGAGTCGAAAAACGAATTGACAATGTCGCCAAAAACCGCGGTCACATGCTGGCCGTCCCTAGTACTACCAATATGCCCGCAGGCGCGGCGAGGAACAAGCTTAACGTATGAGTCACCGTCCGGCTGCCGGGAGAGCCCCTACCGCGACCTTTGTTCACAGTCATGACGTCACGACAATGGGTTCCTAAACGTACGGGCAGCGGCCGCCTCAGGGGTGCCGCCGTGACCTTTGCACGACACGTTCTATAGCGTATGGCACAGCGGTTACTACGAAGGCTGAGGCCAGCGGCAGGCCGGTTTACAAATAACAAACAAACTTGACGCACAATTGACAACAGGTAACAGATTGATTAATAAAGCGGTGACAATATAAATGAAAATGACAACATGAAATGACAAATCGCATAGATGACAAATCGCATAGATGATCCCTACACCGTAATGACTAATGGAAATTGGAAGGTGGGGTAAGACGGCCCAGCTAAGGAAAAGTCGCATGTCTTCCAACACTGCTATCCAATCCCTTATTGTTTAAGGTCTCCTGAATGTTAAATCCTTCCTCTTCTGATATGTGCAGACTGCAGAGGCTGGATTCGAAATTGAAAATATAACTAGACGCTATTTAGGCCTTGGGGTAGATCGGGTCAGGTCAATGCAGTAGGCAACCCGCCGGCTATCCGTAGACTGACAGCTTCGCGATATATTGCGTAGGCAACAAAACTACATTTCGAATGTTCAAATGGGTACTAAATTCGAAATCAGCTCCAAAAACTACCCTGGAATCACGCAAAACTCGAAAGAGGAAGCCAAGGCTGCCACCGACGGTTCGTTAGGGTCGGCAACAAAGGCCGATGGCCATCAACGCCAATGACCTTGACCCGGCCTTCACGTGACATCAACACCCACCGTAATGTTTGGGACAACCACCTTATCATTCACATGTTCACACGTTTATAATCAAGAAAAGTCGGGAACAAACGGATTATGTCTACTGACACACCGAATCGCAGTCCCGACATGATCACGAGGAACAAACAGGTCACAGCCGTAAGGTCATTTGAGTCAGGGACCAGAGTCATTCAATTTTCAAGATAAGTCTAAAATTGATAAACTCGAAAAACCGAGGGAAGTTAATTCAACTTCGCAAAAACTTCGCAAAAAAACGGTAGTAGCGCCGCGATTTTGGTGTCATCGTGTTCGCTTCGCTCAGGCACGTCGAGTGGTATACTTTTTGTTCGGGTGAGGTCAACTTGAGGTGTTGACCTCGGGTCAAGGTCCGGTCAGAGCCCCAAGGTCACGAAGTTGGTTAAAGGAAGTCATACCTATCGCTTATCATTTTATTCGGCAGATCTTTTTTAGTTCATTGGTGGCTTTCCCTACTCGCTAGCTCCATTTCATCGGGAGTTATTGACGAAAAACTTGTATGACCCTAAATAGGGACGACATAAATGTCGTCGTGCAAGGTCAATGATGCAAAAGTAATGCATCGGACTTTGCAAGGAAGCCATGAAATCACGATTCCCGTGTGCTTGAGATAGTAGGAGATCGTTCCCGGCCCCAAAATAGCAGTTTGCACTTTGCATTTTTCCCCATTGACTTAAAATGATGAGGTCACGTGACCGACCTGACCTCATGTGATCTGACCATGACCTGACCTGACTATCCCCTGAGCTGACCGGACCATGTGTGATCACCGACGTGATCATGTGAAAAATCTGAGATATACAAGCTGTCAGTTGTGAGACCTCTGGAGGATACTACGCCTGTAAGTTTCATCTCCCTGTGAAAGTTTCTCTGGCACTAAGGGCGTTAAAGGGACCCTCCCACCTTAACATTAGTTTTGAGTTGAGATAGCCAAGTTTGCGGCCAGGCTCAGAAACCACCATTTATCCTGGTCGCAACCCCCGCAGCTTTATGGTGTTCAAGAAATTTCTTCCCTTTACTTGCAGGGTGGGACCAGCGTGGTCCCTATCTCTTAACCATTACGGGAATCTGATGACGTCATCAGGCTTTCGAACGTCCGTTAAAGGGACCCTCCCACCTTCAAAAAAGTTAATGAATTGGCATGAAAGTGATGTCGCCAGGTTCAGAAAGAGCGAAAACGAATATCTACCAAATTTTATCGAAAAATATTCACCGGTTTTCAAGATATTAGACTTTTACTTTTGTTTACTTTTTGGGATCTCCGCTGTTCCTAGCGACTTTATTTGAAAGTGCGGCATTTGTTGCGCGCAAAGCAGCATATACCACCGCGTGCTACCAAACGTTTTAGTAAAATTAATGACGGACGTTCGAAAGCCTGATGACGTCATCAGATTCCCGTAATGGTTAAGAGGTAGGGACCACGCTGGTCCCACCCTGCAAGTAAAGGGAAGAAATTTCTTGAACACCATAAAGCTGCGGGGGTTGCGACCAGGATAAATGGTGGTTTCTGAGCCTGGCCGAAAACTTGGCTATCTCAACTCAAAACTAATGTTAAGGTGGGAGGGTCCCTTTAAATGTTTGACTAAAAGGTTTTGTAGCACGCGGTGGTATATGCTGCGTTGCGCGCAACAAATGCCGCACTTTTAAATAAGGGACCGTGTATATCACACCACGGTGAGATTTACACAATACCGGCCATTTGTGTAAATCACACCCACCCCGGTGTGATATACACAAAATCTACTACGTAGTGTAAATCACACCCGGGTGAGGAATACACAGAGAGGGCAGCTGTGTGTATATCTCACCACGATGTGACGTCATAGCAACGCTGAACGTCCATTGGTCAGAGCAGTGACTCTGCTCGCCCATTGGTCAGATCAGACTAAGCACTACGAATATTCCGGCGGGAGTCCGGGCGTCCTCTCTCTCGGAATCAGCTGACCGCCTGGCCTAGTGGTGAAGGTGCTTGCACCATGATACGAATGTTGCGGGTTCGAGTCCCGTCGGCGCGGGCGCTTTTTCCCGCATTTTCGCTTTTCCTTGGTAGCGGTGGGTTCGCTGCCGACCGACAAGTTTAAAAGCACCAATACAATATGGAAAGCGACGTCTGAATGCTCGTGGCGAAGCGGTGCAGTGCCGAAGGCAATGCCTTAGGAGAGATTACAGGCAATGGTAAGTCAAATATTTTTAGGTTAAGTGGTTGTGTATCTGGCTTCAGGCCGAAGGCCTGAAGCCTGATGCACAACCACTTAACCTTAAAATATTTGACTTACCATTGCTTGCAATCTCTTCATGCGAGTAACTTCTTCCTCATCCACGGGTAGGCAAAAATCAGTAGGTCAGGTTAGGTTAGGTTAGGTTAGGTTAGGTTAGGTTAGGTTAGGTTAGGTCAGGTCAGGTCTAAGGTTTGGTTAAGTGTCTTGTTACCGTGCCTACTGTGTAAATCTCACCCAGGTGCTGCGTGGTTTGACACCCAGGTGTGATTTACCCACTACCGAGCACACAGTGTATATCACACCCTGGTGAGATTTACACATTGGCTAGGCCTACTGTGTAAATCACACCCAGGTGCTGCGTGGTTTGACACCCAGGTGTGATTTACACACTAGGAGCACATTGTGTATATCACACCACGGTGTGATTTACGCATTTGCCGGGCCTACTGTGTAAATCACACCCAGGTGCTGCGTGGTCTGACACCCGGGTGTGATTTACACACTAGGAGCACATTGTGTATATCACACCCCGGTGTGATTTACGCATTGCCGGCCCACTGTGTAAATCACACTCCGCGTGGTGTGATATACACAGGAGTAGTGTATTGTGTAAATCACACCCGGGTGAGGTTTACACTACAGTGCGATGCATTATGTAAATCTCACCGTGGTGTGATATACACGCGTCCTTTAAATAAAGTCGCTAGGAACAGCGGAGATCCCAAAAAGTAAACAAAAGTAAAAGTCTAATATATTGGAAACCGGTGAATATTTTTCGGTGAAATTTGGTAGATATTCGTTTTCGCTCTTTCTGAACCGAGTGACATCACTTTCATGCCAATTCATAAACTTTTTTGAAGGTGGGAGGGTCCCTTTAAGAATTTGCGACATCTGAGGACCGTGCAGAGGTTCACTTATGACGTCATAGGTCAGTTACCTGACCTGACCTGAAAATGCAGTTGGTGTAGCAAGATCCGGCTTAAAGCAAAGGTCAGGTATGCCAACTTATAGCTCCTTATCTTCGGCGTGTTCGGAGCTGTTGCGAAAAAAACAATAAAGTGCGCCCCCCCCCCTCGGCCGGCGCCCGGCGAGGGTTAATTGCGAATGCTACTTAATGTCTGAAGGTGTATGACTCACTATCTCAAAAGAAAAAAATATATATACAATGTATGTACCATCATTTATTTCATCCACAACTCAAACAAGCATGACTTCACGAATAGTATACAATCGCCCATTGCCACTTATAAATCAGATGGAACTACTGCTTTATTAGAGTTTGCAGGGTTGTTGCGACTTGGTCCTTGCTCATGTTGGTTAGAGGAACGCCGTTCTCCTTCCCAAAGGCTGAAAAAGAAAGAACGTAAATATTATCATCGTACTGTCGCACGCTGTCACTTGGCACTTGACAAACTACAACCCTCGGGCCTCGACTCCGCGAATAATAACTAGGTGACGTCAAAGAAGACAATTCCGAATTTCGTAGCCACTGGCGGATCCAGACGGCGTGTCGGACACTGTGGCAATGGCCAATGACTGTGGCATTATCCCCAGAACGGTTCTTCGATTTCCCATAGCTCCTCGTATTTCGCTTCCTTATGCGTTTGCTGTGCGATTTAAAGTAAATCATTGATAAAAAGGATTTTTCTTCTTTCTGAGCAAAAAAAAAAAAAAACTGCAAAATTTTGTTATCTTCCGACACTTCTGGAGAGGCAACTGGCAAGTGCTCCAAATAATCCCCTTGGAAGTTAAAAACAGACATACTGTTGGAAAGGTTATGCCTGAAGCTGTTGTTAGATATACAATGTAAGCAGATGTACCTATCATACCAATATGAAATCATATTAGGGAAGTAAAGTTTAGCAGGGCAGAGTTTGATGAAAAACATGCCTCCCACCAAAAAAGGTCCAAAAGACATGTATGCACATTAATCAGCTAAATAAATCCATGCAATATTTTCATTATTTTCAAGTAGGTGATTCAATAAATCTATTGTCATCAGAGTACATGATAATTTTGACTAATAGCATGTTTTATGTGAGGCAAAAGTCATAAGCCTATGTTATCTTACAGCACCTATAAGGAACTTATAGAGACCACTGGGCTTTTAGGATCAAGTCCAGTCAAGCTTCCTTGTCCAGTGCCCACCTTCTAAACATCTTTGTATAGGTGGTATGTTGTAAGCTAGAATTCCCTTAAGTTGTTGTCTGTTTTTAAATGATGTTATTTTCCAAATGTGAGGTGTGAATCTCAAATTCAATTGTGATTTGTGATGAGTTTCAGTTCAACTGAATTCAGGTTGTGAAATGTGAATTCCAACTGATTTGAAATGAAAATGAGAAAAGGTCAGGTCACACAAACACTGCTTACCGTATCTGGCATACAGCTTTGGATGAATGCCACTGCACTCCCTGATCAGGATTGGGAAGTCTGGATTTGCCCTCTTCAATGGCACATAGCTGCTTTCAATGAATTCCCTGAAAATAATGTGGTATGTTTAGCATAAAGCAAAAACACCATGTTTACAGAGGCAGTCAAACATAAGAAAACCAGTCAATCAGTATCTACCTACCTATTTTAACCCATTAGATACGCTTGGTAGCTTTTGCTGCCACAGGACAAAATAGCGCCGCATTCCTAAACGTTGCGGTGAACTTTCAAAGTTCTCACCCGAACGGAAGACCAAAACAATGCACGTCATGTGCGCTCCGAATTATTGATCGAGAAAGCGAATGTGCTGAGAAATAAACAATTTATCGCGGGGGTGCAAGGGGCGCGCAAGGCTATAGAACTCCAGGTAAGGACACCAGCCGTTTGACCTTGAACGCCGCCGGCCGGCCGATGACGTCATCGGAGGCAAGCCAGCTCGGTGGACACATCAAGCAAATGCATAACGGAGGGGTGTTGGAACGTTGCGGGAGCCGGGAAGAGATTTTAATGCGATTGCATACCACCATTGTTATGTTGATTGATCTACAGACAGCATTCTTATAAACCTCGATGCCTCCTAGGCCTGGATGGTGCGTACATTAGTAGAACGAACGATCACCCTGACCGACGTCCGTGGTCGAAGCTGTCTAATGTCTATGCACCTAAGGACGCTAAGACGGGTGCAATAACGGCGACCCGATCCCGCCTCTGGCGAATCTATAGGAGTCATTAGGACCCAGGCCGAATCTGACAGTTTATTTTTAGGGAGACGGGGTGGGTGAATTGACAACCGATGGTTTAAGAGATGATGAGAGGGGATCCCATCGTCGATGGTTGTTGACAGCCAACACATGCTGTACTGGGCGGATAACCATCAGAGATAATGCCTGAACATAGGCAAGCATAATTGGTCTGTCATATTCCCAATAAACATGCCGACGTCGGCCCGACGTCGGCCGACGTCGGGGTGACGTCGGCAACTCGGCATCGGCATGCCGACGTCGGCCCGACGTCGGTCCAACCTCGGCACGACATCGGCTGGACGTCGGATATGCCCGCATGTTCCGACGTCCAGCCGAGGTCCAGCCGACGTCGGGCCGACGTCGGACCGAGATCAATTGCTGAGGTCCAGCCGACGTCGGGCCGACGTCGGACCGACATCGGCCGCTGTTTTGACCGTTAAAATAATATAAAATACATGTTTCATGTTTCATAAAGAGCTTCTGTATTCAAAATATCCTCAGGAAACTCAAATCTTCCTCCACGCCGCAACCCCCTGATCCGGACTGGACGGGAAACTTTATCCCATTTGGGATTGCCCGTAAGCCGAGCTCGCCCGTAGCCGGGTGCGGTGAGTGCTTGGGGGCTGCTCGGCCTATCCTTTGGTCAGGCTCAGCCCCGGCAACTCACCAGGGCCGGGCCCAGTTCATATAGAAAGGCCAGTCGGCAAGTGTCACTTTGCCAAAGTGCCACTTATCAAAGGGACACTTTGGGAAACGTTGGTGCAGGTGTGTAAGAGTGGCTATATGAATCCATTGTGGGGTCGCCCTTTCCAATAAGTGTCACGTAACAGCAATGGGACCAGGGACTCTATATGAACTGGACCCAGGGTGCTCGCCAAGAAGACCAATGTCTCCATCCTATCATCCTTCCGCCTCTGAAATGGTCTCGTCAGACCGAAAGGGCATAACCCAACAAAACAAACTAAATTCGTCATCCGGCTGCGTGGTGTAGTAGTTAGCGCACTAACCTCGCGTTCAAATGACACGGGGTTCGAATCCCATAGCCGGCTGATGCTTTTGACGTGTTGTCCCAGTAAACATGCCGACGTCGGCGACTGGGGGGCTCGAATCCCGCCGCCGGTTGATATTTTTGGCGCGTTGTCCCAATAAACATGCCGACGTCGGCCCCGTCGGTCCGACGACAAACGATCTCGTCAACCTCGGCAAACGACCTCGGCCCGACGTCGGCTCGACGTCGGCTGGACTTCGGCTGGACGTCGGAACATGCGGGCATATCCGACGTCCAGCCGATGTCGGGCCGAGGTTGAACCGACGTTGGGCCGACGTCGGGCCGAGCCTCGGCCCGACGTCGGGCCGACGTCGGCATGTTTACTGGGTTGTTTAGGAATAGGGGCCCCGCAGGAGCTATTGTATCACCATCGGTCCCGGGCAACTCCGGGAAGCTGCAGTACCCAGCAGCGATTTCGGACGGTGCCCCGGTTGTAGGGGAACGGAAGACAATAGCCTCAAATGCCTTCCCCTGGATCCGTCAGTGGGCGCCCCACCCCGAGCTTTACTAAAAACGTCTTCAAATCCCACCAGACAGCCGATGGTAATGTGAATTCAAATCCGATAGCTCACCTCTGTCTGCCTGCCTTAATATACTACACACCGCACGAAGCCCGGCCCCGTCGGAGCCCTGAGCCGACCGTGACATTTCCGGCTTTCCCCATCCCAAGGTCGATTAGAACCCCACCCGATTGCTGATGGTAATTCAAATTCAATACCTCGTCTCTGCCTGCCCGCCAAAAATCCTTTCATCGCACACCGTACAGCGCCCGGCCCCGCCAGAAGTATCCTAGCGCGCAGAGTAGTTGCCTCCAGCCGCGTCATCGCGAGGCCCCGCAAGGCGCATAAATGAATACATTGCGCGAATAGCCGTGTCTCCCCCCTGGGGGCGCGCGATGGCGGCCGTGCGGCGGACACCAAAGAAGTCAGTTGCGAAGGTGGTGTGAATAAATGTTACCTTTTTATTATTGATTATTGTAAAGAAATGTGTGATTATCAATGGGAAGGGCTTAGGTGCGACATGAATTTCTCTAAGTATCGCCAATCGTGCGTTATATTTAAGTGGCAGCAAAAGCTGCCAACCGTATCTTACGTAGTCAAAAATGGAGCAGTTACGTCCTTTTTGCTATGTCATTCGTAAGTGAGCAACAATGTCTGGCTTTATGGCTCATAGTGTAATGCCCCAGTTCTTTGCCTTTCCAAAAATGGTCATTACCGGGGTTTCTGCTATTTATTCTTGTCTGCAGAGCATTGCATACCAACACACTACCAGGCGTGTCATGTATTCCGCCATTGCTGAAGCAGGGACGTTGAACGGAGTGGTGCGGACAAACCGTCATCAGAGGCGCCATCCCTCAAGGGGCGCGCCGTCGCCTAAGGGAAGGTGGTGCCGTGGCTCTATAGATGAACGGGAAGAGGGGCGCCTGCTAGGCCTGTTGGGGCGCCTTTGAGGCCTAACTATGGGGTCGCGCCCGCCCCCCGCCCCGCTCCCGCCCCCCATGCAAAAGAGGGGCGCCTACGAAGGTCATGGCCATAATGGCGCATCTGCACGAAAGAGGGGCGCCTGCATGCCGAAGAGGGGCGCCTATGAAGCCCAATGGGGCGCCTCTGCGAGAAAGAGGGACACCTGTAAGGTCTATAGGGGTGCATGTAATGTCCATAGGGCACCTTTATGCGAAAGAGGGGCGCATTGCATATGAAAAAGAGGCGCATTGCACAAGAAAGAGGGGCGCCTCTGAGACCTATAGGGGCGCCTTTGATGACCAAATGGGCGCTTACATGGGAAAGAGGGGTGCCTATAAAGCTTAAAGGGACGTCCTCCATGTGAAAAAGGGGCGCCTGGAACTTGAGCGCCCTTCCGAGCTGTCCGAGGTCGCCGGAAAGTTTGTATATGTCCAGCTCCTGCTGCACTATCCTCCAAAATAATTCGATTGGATTTAGGACAGGACTGTTCCCTAGCCAAGTGTCCTTCCCCCAGATATCGGACAGATGGTCCTGGCACCGCCTAGTTCCGGAAGATCGATGAGATGGAGTACCGTCCAGCATGAAAATGCTGTCCGACCTGCGGGACACCATGCGCCGTTGGAGCACGGGGTAGTGGTCTTTTAATGCCAAATGCACGCTTTTTCAGTATGTTTTCTAGGTAGTCGTCGGGATCGACTTCGTCTTTTGCTAGATCACGTCCAGCTGGTTCAGCTCAGGCCCTGCTAGGACATCGTGATCGTTCGACAACCATTGCGGCGAGAATTTTTCGCAGAAGTCTGTCGGAACTTGGGCCGCGTTTTCAGCCCATGCTCGTTTTGGGGGTCCGTGTGGTGAAACCATTGAAACGGAGACTCGTCGCCGAACTAGACCCGCTTCTACATACCTACTCCGTTTCCACTCTTCTACCGGCCAGACTCTCCGTTTCGTGCAAATCTGAGGGCTCTGGGCTTGCTGATTTTCGTTATTTTGGCCGCACCAATAGTCAAGCGCCTTCAGTCTAAGGGCTTTCCTCCCTTATCAATGGACAACATTATCCGAGTGATCATTACGAATAAGACTTCAGATTCTCCACAGAATGGTCAGACTTCCCAGGTGCTTTCTTCATGACGATCTTGGCGACGGTTGAGACGCAGGAGGACCATGCTGATTGGGGCTTATGCGTGACGCTACTTGTCCCTAAACTTCTTCCACCAGCGCTTGTTGGTGAAAACGGGGGCTTAGAAGTGTGAGGCAGCGTCCTTCCATGTGTTGCCACTTGCCAGCTTGGAGCATGCCAACAGCGCAACTACGAACCTCTCAACTGTAAAGCTAAACCTTCATGCTTAGACGTTCAGTAAATGCGCCGTTCAATGGTTAAACAATTACCCATGCCAGTGACCCCATTGGTAAAGGTCAGCTTTTCAGATAATCTCCGCTTCAGAGAAAGACTCAGGGACACAATTCGTTGAAAGGAACGCGATATTTAGGAGCACATTGGAAACACGCCAAGTTGCTTTAAATAAACGGTCGACGGACGTCATCAAAACCTTCGTCGCATCCTATATAAGATTCTGTGGGGAGGGGAAGCGCGTATGAGCTGAAATAATGAGAGACAGAACATGATCTCTCAGAACGAGCTGAACTGTTAGCTGAGGTCTGGATTTTGAGTTCATTATTCTTGAGAATTATTGGCTACGGTCGTTATTTGCAGGCTACGGTCGAATGGAAATCCGAACAATTACACATATTCAAGATCATATCTGGTACGTAAATAAAATAGTTCATGAAAATTGTACATGCACCAACAGGAGACACTCTGTGGCAAAGGTTGTTGGTATCGAAAGATCATTTCCTCGCGGTTTTGATATGTTTGTGCTTTGAAATGTGACAAACCACTCCATTTTTGACTACATAAGATACGCTTGGCAGCAAAAGCTGCGAGACCGGAAGCGTACACTTCCGGCTTCGTGATCTGGCTAAAAATGCACATGTATTCTCCTAAAGGGTGCCTGACAAACATATGTTAAAATCGCAGTGAAAGTCGACAAAAAAAGTTTTCGGCTCTAATGGGTTAACATTATGCTAGCCAGAAATGTGCATGGATCTAAGAAAATGGATCTGGGATCCCAGGGATCCTGATCTCAGATGATAGGATCATAATCTAGCTCTATAATTTATCAAGAGATCCATAGGTGGAGATTGTGCCAAACTGGGGATGCTTGGGCACAGCAAATCCACCCCAGCCCTAGCAGTGACCTTGACCTCCACCGTCTGTTGCAGCTCCAAAGCCAAGCCAGCATGGAATTGGGAGAGCTTGAGCACCCCCAGTCCAGCACAACTCTCCGCCTATGAACAGATCCATTTGGATCACAGATCATAGTCTAATTTTTCTTTTTACTGGAGATCCAGTGATGCAGGATAATAAATCCTCACTTTTTTCAACACAGAAATCCTGAAGATTCACTTATTGCAATTTACAAAAGTTGTTATAATACTTTTATTGTAAGACAGTAAGGTATTAGTATATATAAGGTCCGAGTGGACAATTGTGACGCTGTTGATACAAATATGTAACAGCAAAAAATTTAGGTTTTAGGTTAGGTTAGGTTGTAGGTTTGTAGGTTTTAGGTTTTAGGTTGGTAGGTTAGGTGGTATATGTCAAGTTTAGGTCCTAACTACAATTGTGGCGCTTTTGATACGAATATGAAACAGCAAAAATTTTAGGTTTTAGGTTAGGTTAGGTTGTAGGTTTGTAGGTTTTAGGTTGTAGGTAGGTAGGTTTGTAGGTTAGGTTAGGTTAGGGTAGGTTTGTAGGTGGTAGGTTGGTAGGTTATAGGTAAGTAGGTAAGGTTAGGTCAGGTTTGATTGTTTTTTTTCTTTGATTTGCGAGACATATGAGTATCATTTTTGGATTCAGGATGTCAAATAATGTAAAAATATGAAAAATTTATCAATGAAATCTTCTTAGGACTTAAACTTGACATTTACCGGTTAGGTTAGGTTAGGTTGTAGGTTTGTAGGTTGTAGGTTGGTAGGTTGTAGGTAAATAGGTAAGGTTAGGTCAGGTTTGATTGTTTTTTCTTTTATTTCCAAGACATATAAGTATCATTTTTGGATTCAGGATGTCAAATAATGTAAGAATATGAAAACTTTATCTTTTAACAGCCACTCGGACTCAATGCATACTTTTACCGAAAGTAAAGCCAGTAGTTTTACAAAGAAAAGCAGGCATTCCAGAATATGAGCCACCAGCAGAAGTTCAAGTTGCTATTTCATATATATATATATATATATATATATATATATATATATATATATATATATATATAACGTATCACTTTAGGCCATTTAAATAACATTTAACTCAGACGTTTCACCTTTATTGTCAAGGTTTCATCAGTGTGATATGGCCAACGCTTTCGCCGCAAAAGCCACAAATGCAAGACAAAAATAACAATCATGTCGGACCGCACGTGATTATAATAGGCACTAATTGCCTCTAATTAAATCTCAAAACAAAGACATGCGTGACATCACAGACACCATAGCGCCGAATCATAAAGAGGGTGAGAGGATCTCATACTCCATTCATTTATTCATTCATGGATTCATTCACTCTCACCCTCTTTCCGCCCTTTAGGTCGAACGCACGTTTAGTCCCCCGTCTCTGTCGGTACCTAGCAGCCCCATCCAGCGGTTCTCCCTCGACCTCCTGTAATCCACATTCCTCCTCCACACTCGTTCGAGTCCGACCACTTGCAGGTGGTCCAAGGAGTGGCCTGTCGCTCTAAAATGCCTACTCACAGGTAGGTCGATCGCCGGGTTCTCCACACGGATAGACGAGAGGTGGTTCTGCACGCGTGTGTAGACGCTATCCCCGGTCTCACCGACATACACAACCCTTTTGCACGCGTCACACCAGATCCCATAGACGACATTTTGCGATCTGCATCCTATTGTCCTATCATAAAAGCACTCTTTGGGGTTGCCCTTTACTCTGCCATTGCCAGAATACATCCGTTTACACATGACACAATCTTTCCCACAGCTTTCCTGACCGCGCAGTTTCTCCCCATAAACAGCCCGCTTGGTTTTCCTGTGAACCAGATCGTCTCTGAGATTTCGACCCCGTGTGACGCGTGCAAAAGGGTTGTGTATGTCGGTGAGACCGGGGATAGCGTCTACACACGCGTGCAGAACCACCTCTCGTCTATCCGTGTGGAGAACCCGGCGATCGACCTACCTGTGAGTAGGCATTTTAGAGCGACAGGCCACTCCTTGGACCACCTGCAAGTGGTCGGACTCGAACGAGTGTGGAGGAGGAATGTGGATTACAGGAGGTCGAGGGAGAACCGCTGGATGGGGCTGCTAGGTACCGACAGAGACGGGGGACTAAACGTGCGTTCAACCTAAAGGGCGGAAAGAGGGTGAGAGTGAATGAATCCATGAATGAATAAATGAATGGAGTATGAGATCCTCTCACCCTCTTTATGATTCGGCGCTATGGTGTCTGTGATGTCACGCATGTCTTTGTTTTGAGATTTAATTAGAGGCAATTAGTGCCTATTATAATCACGTGCGGTCCGACATGATTGTTATTTTTGTCTTGCATTTGTGGCTTTTGCGGCGAAAGCGTTGGCCATATCACACTGATGAAACCTTGACAATAAAGGTGAAACGTCTGAGTTAAATGTTATATATATATATATATATATATATATATATATATTCATTAGTTTCTAGTTCATAAATAAAAGTTCAAGTCAAAATAACTGTAAATCCAACTTAGCATCAGAAGGGTTTGATGTCGGCAAATGTGGCGCATTGCAATCAAGCATCCCGAAGGAACCTTACGCAGCTAATATCGTCACAAACAGTAAATAAATGTTAAGGTACCTGACTCCTTGGCTGGCACTTGATTTCTGACAAAGATGAATCCTAATTTCTTTCACATGAGCTCCAATCTTCACCGCTGCGGAGCGCGCAGCAGACGCCATTTTCGCCTATGAAATTAAGGCGGAGGAATACTAAAGAAATACTATGAGAAGTACGTAGGCGAAGTCCTTTCAAAGTGACGTATTAGACCTGAAAATATTATTTTAATATCGCGGTTTAACAAAGATACACTTCTAATTATGTGTTATTTGTAATAAAATTTATATGAAAAATTCCAAAAATTTTGGCTTTTCCATTTTAAGATATTCCCTTGTTTTGAGAGGCAGAAGTGTGACTAGTTACGTCACTGAAAGAAATTTTCAATTCTCACATATCAATTTCTATTTTTCGACTCCACTTTTTCAAGGCCGTCAATCTCAAATGTATTTACACACCTATTCCTATCTATCTTGTGGATTATTGCCAAGGCCCTATATAGATTGGCCCTATAGGATTATTGCAATTCATTTGCAATTCAGTGGGATTCAGTGGGATTTACCTTTCTTCTGCCAGTGTATTCACTGGAGGCCATAAAGAACTCAAGTAATGATTGATTAGGATTGTATTTTCCCTCTGATGGTTCTGGCTCTAAATCAAAATAGAATTGCATCATCGGTTAGTTTCAAGTTTGTCTGTCTTGGTCAGGATATAGGTTAGTTTCAAGTTTGTCTGTCTTGGTCAGGATATATCTTGATCTTGATCTAACGGCATTGACTTGGGATAAAGCTTTAAATTGCGAAGCATTATTATTATTATAATTATTAAATCGTTTATTCCACTAACCACAATCATGGGTGGGCGTTACAGTGGAAAATTGCCAATTCCAACACGTCTGTTCATGTGGTAAACAGTGAACTGAACTGTTCATTATGAAGATAGTTGTAAAATCTAGATGTTGCAGACGGTTTTCAATCTAATAGAAATTAAGAGCTTCCGTTAAAGCTCCGTTATCTCTTCTCCTCCGTGTATCTATGGTAGAATAAAAGCTATCATAATAAACTGTGTGTGTACTCATCCACATCTTTATATTACCACATTTGAAAGGTAACTATGGCCATTCAAATTCAATTTGTATGTATAGGCTTGGAATTGTTTCTTTTCAGTTGGTAACTAGCAGGGAAATAGACTGAAATTTGAGCTTGCTATTTGTTTTGTTATGAGCCTCTTTGTGAACAGAAGTACATAAGTGATTATGCGACGCAATGGAGGTTAAACTTTTCAAAGATGATAAGATGTTATTTGAAAAGCTACAACAGTGGAACAGTGGGATCACAGTTGTATCACCAATGCTGTGAACAGTGTATTTTGTTTCTGTCTTAGATTCAATTAAGAGATTGATGACATCAATTTGGAGGTAATGATGTTGCCAAGCACAGTGTGGCTGTTGTTACAGATAGCAACCCGACCTCTGATGTTTCGTCGGCCGGCGGAGCGCGGGGATGCGCCTACAGGACTGGAGGCAGAGCTGTCCTCGCTGGCCCTGTCCGACGGGCCGCTAAATGTGGCGCGTCTGTACGACAACCTCTCGCTCACCAGCTCCGACTGCTCGTCTGACCAGTCCGACGTCATCTGGCGGCCCGACGGGCGGGACAGCGCCGCCTCCGACAGCACCGTCACCGGCGGCAGCGGGGACTGGACGCAGCCGTCGCCGCGGGTCGGCCGGTGCGGCGGCTACGGCGGCCATGAGCTCAGCGCCCTGCCAGAGGACAGCGGGAGGGGCGTCGCTCCGCGCTCTCCGCTCTCCGATGACGCCGGCAGCGTGGTGTCGCGCTGGTCCGACTTCGTCTCGGACGACGAGGAGTACATGACAGCTGAGGAGGGCGGCTCGGTCGGCCCGCCGCCGACGGTGGCGCTGCGGCGTCGGCTGTGCGAGCTCGGCGACGACCCGGGCCCGGTGACCAGCAGCACCGTGGAGCTCTACCGCCGCCGACTGGCCCGGCTCGAGGCGCGCACGGCACACTTCTCACCGGAGCTGGATGCCGCTCTGGCCGGCGCCGCGCCGCCGCCGGCACCGGCACTCGAGGGGGACGCGTTCGGGCCGACTGGCGCTGCTGTCACGCGGCGCTCGTGCTTCAACTACCTGCTGCTGGATCCGCGCGTCACCGGCCGGCGGCCGGACGGCGCCCAGCTCTCGCTGGCGGCCTTCGCGGCGGCCGTGTTTTACGTGGGCAAGGGCCAGCAGAGCCGGCCGCTGTGCCACCTGCGCGAGGCCGCTGAGGCCGGCCCGGCGGGCAGCGCCAAGGTGGCGCACATCCGCGCCATCTGGCGGACCGGCGCCGGCGTGGCGGTACTCAGCGTGTTCCACCACCGTCCCAACGCCGAGGCGCTCACCCGAGAGGCGGCCATGATCGACGCGCTGGGTCTGCGAAACCTGACCAACGTGCGGCGCGGCGACTACTACGGCGCGGCCAAGGCGTGGCCGGCCGAGCGGCGGCGCCGGCTGGGTGTGGCGCTGCTGCACCGCGCTTGGCGCATCTACGGCGCCGAGGGCGAGACCCAGCTGCGGCCCGAGGACCTGGGAAGGTGAGACGGCGGGGCGGAGAGCACACCGCCCTGGAGACGTGAACAACAGTCGTCAGGAACAGTTCGTTACCCAGCCCTACAGTGGACGTGACGAACAGTCGTCTGCTTTAATACGGCCCGCCGGAAAAGCACACAGCGGTGCTGAGTGAACCGGGCGACAAAGGACCGGCGCACGGTGTGTGCCGTGATGCCTAAGGAAATTATCTCTGTGATAATTGACCTGGAATAGCTTGTCAGTCACACATATCAGCTGTCAGGGGACGAGGGTGTAGAGCGGTGATTCAGCTTCATATTTCTGACCCAGCTTTTGCCCGGTTAATCTACCACTAGCGGTATTACGGGCATGACCATTTGTGGTCAGTGATCTCGTTGACACAAACCACCGTAAAATCAGCTTTATGTGGTGTTGGGACCAGTAAACGTCCCACCTAAGTGTGGAATTGACATAAATGTTATTAATTTATGGCGACCTTTGCTAGTTGTACGCTAGTGGTACACAAATGTGTCGCAGATTTTCATGCATGCTTTACTTGACACAATTGAGCCGAGGGGCTCCTAAGCGACTAGTTAGTGGAACGTATTAGCGCATTTTGGTTGACCCGTGCATTTCATATCAGCCGCAATTCAAATCTCGTGAATCGGCGGTATCCTTTGCTGCGAGCTTATTTCGCATTTGCCAGCGCCAATGTGTCGCATCTGCCGTCCATGCCGTGGCGAGCCAGCAGTGCGCCGTGTGTGCTGTTGTGTTTTGTAATCGCGTACATCTTCGCTTGCACAACCAATAAATGTGCCTTATCCGAGTTTGTCCATATCGCTCAAACATTTTCTCTGGTGGAGGATCGGGCTCCCATTGTGCGGCGCGAAATCTTCGTGTGAACAAGCCAATGACTGCGAGCGGGAAACACTGCGAGTTGGGGAAAAATAATAGTTTATTGTTGGAATCTAGCATCATGCCGTAACCAATTGGCGCTGGATTATAATTATAGGTACAGGCATGATTAAAGTAATCATATGATACATTATGGCCCCACATATATTGGCGTTGGATGTGGGATCAGCCGACAGGGAAGAGCGATATTGCTGAGTCTCTCAACACCGCAACGAAAAACGACCGGCGGCAGCCAGCTCAGCATCTCGTTAAAAGTCGCGAAAATTAGCCCCCTGCTTACCCCCTACGCGCAGCGCCGGCTCGTACACCGAATATACAATAAACTTACACCTACGGGGTACGCCGTCCATAAAATACCGGTGACTAGCACAACCTTTATCCACAGAGCGGCGACCGGTGCCCAGACCGTCCATGCGACGCCATAAAGCAAGCGAGCAGCGTCACACATGCATCGTCACCGGCTCCCCTTAGTGCTACGTTTCGGCTGAACAGATCGACTGAATTCACCGGCGCGGCCGCTAACCTAGGGCAGCTCCAAACAAATCGGGCGCCCAGCTCCCCGACCGCCAGAAATAAGCATTTTTACAGAGTGTGGGGCTAAATCGTCGGGGGCCGTGGGGCGCCTAATCTCTCGTCCGCCCGCGCCGGTGGCGAGCGGGGCGCCGGCGCCGGCCCGGGAGTCTCCGCGGCGCCGGCACCCCGCGACTGTGCTCTGAGCGGCGCTCCGCCCGGCGGCGGCAGCTAAGCGCTCGTCTCGTCGTCCCAGTCCGAGTCGGACTCGGACTCGGAGTCCGAGTCGGAGTCTACCTCGATGGCGACGCGGCGCGCCAGGATCGAGGCCACGTCGTGCAGCGGCTGCGCCTGCGCGCGCCGCTGTTCCTCCACGTCCTCCACCTTGCGCAGCTTGATACCTGTGTGTACAGAGAACGGTCAGCTCAGGGTGTGTCCCAGCGCGTAAAACATGCTGACTTATGCCATTTGAGTTACTACGATCGCTTGTTAATAAGAAAAGGTGCTTTACATTTCTGGTCGAAAATGGAAAGCCAAATTGCAGCAAACGAAGATAATCTCTATGAAAGCAATGGGTCAGTGCTGGTTCAAAGAATCTACCTACCATTGGTATCGCAAATCGACTGGTAAAGCATTTGTCATTGAAATACGTGACCGCCAGTCTTGTAACTAACCACACTTCATGTGATTTAATATTTATGTCTCTGAGGAATAGTCTCTAACAATGATCTACACTATACAACAAAGCTTAGTGATTTATTTGCCCATATTTATATTGATTCCTGAATATTAAAGAACTTGGAAAATTCCCAAATATCTTGTAGGATCCTGGATCTTGTGTTTTGTGATCCCGATAGGATCACTGATAGCTCGAATAGATCATCGTGACTTTCAAAATCTGGACGATTTCATACTCATTGAAAGAAACCTCGGATAAGATAGCTTCTACTATACTACTCAATCACCAGCGCTTGTTTTGAAAGTCTTCACATCCAGGCAGCTGGGATTCGGGCAGGGGTAAAGACTGAACGTGTCCGATCATAGGCAGTGATGGCTATCAAGCCCAATCTGGCTTTCGACCGCCTTCGCCAAGGTTTATAGTTCCTTATACTCGTAGGCGTGTAGGTGTAGTTCCAACGGATGGCAAAAACAACGAGATAGGCAAATGTTGTTACGCAAGCTGTTAGGAGAAATATCAAATACATATAGGCTACCCATTCCCAATTTTCATAATTTGCTTCCCGATAGCCCACGATTTAGCGAGTCGGGCATAACAATGTCGTGCGATGCGCATTCACCTGCCGCGTCGAGCTCTTTATTCCAGAATATTTAGGAAGCAATATGAGCCTTGAAAAAAAAGCTAAATGAACGGACGGTAACTGCACGACTGCACGACAACAATCTGCACGACAACAATCCACATACGAATATAGTACCTATGACATGAAATTAGGAGATAGAATCCAAACATATATAAACAACATTATCTGCTCCGCGACTGCCCCGTTCCCGCGTCTCGTGAGAGCACTGACCGTCTCGGATGGCCTTGAGCAGATCGCTGCGCGCGTCGTCCTGCGGCATGGGCAGCAGGTTGGTGCGTGGAGCCGTCACCTGCGACGGCGGCGTACCAGCCTTCTGCAACGGGACGAGATTACGGGGCTGCTGTCAGTCCGGCGGAGAGGTGGGTGCGGAGAGGGCGACGGAGGGAGGGAGGTGGGGAGGAACGTCCAGTGAAGGGAGCTAGCACACCGGGAGAGGAGCGGGAGAGGAGACTGTGCGAGCACGGAGGGCGTGTAAGTCGCTGGGCGGGATAATATCATGGTGAAGCTGGCACAAAGGGGGCGGAGTCAACAACATGGAATACGGATAGTACAAAAGAGCCACATCAACGCAATATAACGGAGACATGACTATAAATATCACAAATATAGGACATCAAGGATCAATGGGAAAGAAATTGGTAAAAGAGTGCCGCTTATTTAAGAAGTTCACTGAAACACATTATTTCATTAGAATCAAGAATGGTTGACAGCCATCTACTATGCCTCGACGTTCAATTTGCGACTTACCATGCCACCGTTAGTGATATTCTCGTCAGCAGTTGTGATGGTGGTCTTGGTCAGTCCGTTCACCAGCGCGCCGATGCCGCCCGGCGGTGGGGGCGGTGGCGGAGGCGGTGGTGGCGGCGGCGGCGGCGGTGGTGGCGGCGGCGGCGGAGCCTGCGGCGGTGCCATCTGGCCCGGGTGCGCCGATGGCGGCGGCTGCGGCGGGGGCGGTGGCGGCAGCTCCTCAGGCCCGGGGACCGCCGGCGGCGGCGGCAGGTACTCGGCCGACAGGTCGTGCGGAGACGGCGGCGGCGGCGGCTCCGGCGAGCCGGGCCGTAGCTCGTAGCCCGTGTAGCCGCCGACGCCGTTCTCTGGGGGCGGCGGTGGCGGCGGCGGCGGCGGCAGCGAGTCGCGGCCGCTGGGCAGCCGGCCGCGGCTGGGCGTGCTCTCGTTGCTGGGCGGCGCCGGCGGCGGCTGTGACGGCCGGCTGGAGACGGCCCGGCTGACGGCGCGGCCGGCCGGCGAGCCGGCGCTGTCCGGACTGAGCGGCGTGTTGGACGGCCGCCGGCGCATCTCGATACTGATGGGCCGCGGTGAGTCGTGTGCCGACGGCGAGTCCATCTCGTACGGAATCTGGCCACACAAATGGCGAACAGTCAGTATCAGAGGACCTCCTGCTCACCGAACATTCGTCACATCTCTGTAAAACGAGTTCAAACAGGTGTTATTTGCCGGAACGTTACATTTCGATGTCATCATAATTGACATAGAATCCGTAATAATGAAATACACAACTCCAACGATATGTGAATGATCCTGTATCGAATTGTTTCACAAGTCACAACTGAAGTGGGTGATTTGATTTCAAATATCGGCTTAAATCATTTTCCAGCACGTCAAAACGATTTAGACGGGCATTGTCCAATCGACCCATTCCACTCTTAGTTCTCACCATTCACCAGCCATCCCCATCAGCCCCACAATGTCAGCCAGGCGGCCGCGTCTCACCGGCTGTGTGGGTGACGTCGGGTGCGATGTGCGGCCGTTGGGTCGGCCCGCACCAGGCTGCGGGCTGATGTATTCGCCGTGCTCCTCCGCCATCTGGCGGTGCCGCTCGCGCGTGTTCTGAGCCTGACGGACCCGCTTCTTGTGTCGGCCGCCGCCGCTGCCGCCGCCTCCACCGCCCGAGGACGCGTCGTGGCGCGGACGGTGCGGCTGGGGGAGGGTCGCGGGATAAGTCGTCAATTCGTCACTTAAAGTTGTGTGAGTTTTTCAGCGCCCAACCAGAACACAAACGAAATACTTCGACAACCACGCATGTCAATTATAACCATCGGTGCATGACTTCAACAGCGAAATACGACAGGGATCGGTAGAGGCGATGCTATTTATTTACGACGCACAATAAAACGAGGTCAACTATCACAGTGGAGCAAAGAAGAAACACGGAAACTATAAATTACGTTACTTATACAGTTTAGTCAACAAAGGACCCTTAGCACTGCTGACATGCCGAAAACTCACCTTCTTGCCCTTTTCGTTGATGAGACGGTCATTTTCCTTCAGCATGTCTTGTCTCCATAGCTCGAAAAAATAGTTTGGATCTGTGTAAAACTTGAGCCCATCCTTTCCATCCTCTCTGAAAACGACATAAAAATGTTAAAACTAGCCTAAAAGTTGAAACGCTTTTTGACGGACTGAAGTAAACACGCTGTCCTTAAAATGTCCTACCCCACCGCTTACGATGATAAAAACGGATGCACAAATGTCCACGACAAACGTGACAGCGTTTGCCACCTTGGCATGTTAAAATACAACAGAACATCAATATTTATGACATGACCACACACAAGATTCATCTCACTTCCCATTTCCTATTTTCCTTTCTGACATGTGCGATCACTTGGTACCTACTCAGCGAAAGAATTTTACAACCACCCAGTGACACGGACAACGTCTCCCAACCCGACAGTTCGCGCTGTAGTGCGGTGAGCGCCCACCTGAAGCAGTTGAGCTGGTCCAGCGGTGGAGGCCGGTCGCAGCTCAGGTATGTCTCGCGCATGGCGGCCGGCATACTCTCGCGACTGAAAACCGCCTGGTCCTTGACCACTTGCGACCGGAATGCCTTGCGCATGTGGATCTCCTGTAGGGACACTGCCGAGCGGAGAGAGGGTGTGTTAGCAGCGGCCGGGGATGGTGACACATCCGCGTAAGGCATCAAAGTCACCCGCATCACAAAAAAAAAACAGCAATAGCACCAGCACAGACACCTGGATGAAGAAGACGTCGTGAGCATCTGTGCAAGCATGGACAACACGCGGGGCAATAAAAGGTGTATGAAAGTGCTATAATAGTG